AAAGAATTAAGAGAAATGTTACGTTTACCAAATGTCAGCACACATTGGCGTCCTGACGACTTTAATGGTGTATCGGAAGCCATTGAGAAATTATCCCGGCCACGTAAACGTTTAACAGAACTTATGCTAAAAAGTCTTAACGAACAACCAGCACAACCAAAATGTACTAAACAATTTCTGCCAATTTTCTTAAGATCACCAAAAACCCTCAAGGAACAAGAGTTAATATTTACCATTAATGAAATGCAACAAGATAGGGCGGTGGCCACTTCATCCCTGGAAAGCCTTCCCGCCGACTTAGTACTCCGAAGTATAGGTTATAAATCGTCGTGTGCCGATAAGGAGCTGTGTTTTGATGCACGAGCTGGTATGGTGGCTAATGTAAATGGACGTGTGCTGAAAAATGCCAACGATACAACCTCCGTAGATCCTGGTCTTTATACTGCTGGTTGGTTAGCCACTGGGCCTACGGGTGTTATACTTACCACAATGAATGTTGCCTTTTCTGTGGCTAAAACTATATGTGATGATGTGGCGGCAAAGAAAATCTCCACGGAGGATAGTAGACCTGGTTTAATGGATTTGTTGAAGGACAAACGTTATGTTAACTGGCAGGCATGGGAACGGATTGATGCTGAAGAGACAAAACGTGGCCAGGCAATTGGTAAACCAAGAGAGAAAATTGTTAGCGTTGAGGATATGTTAAAGGTAGCTGGATTGTAATAGCTGTGGAAGATTGGGGTTTGTTTTTTCTTTTAGAAATAAAAGTGAATTTGGAGTAGTTATGGTGCTATGTTAGTTAGTGTTAAGTAGCAAAGGTATAAGCAATGCAATAAATACATTTTTTAAATCAACGACTTGAGAAATTTCTTATTTTTTCAGACTTTAAAAATATGTCACATGCCCATCGATTTTATATTTTGTGACAGAACAGTTACTCCTAAGGTAACAGATGTAAGATTTATAATGGTTAGACTGAGCAGGTATTTAAAAAAAGGAAAATCCTTAAATAAAAGAAGATAGATCAGATACTCGGGATCCTTTGGTCTGATTTAACATTAATAAAAGCCTCACGCAAGGAATAATTTTCAAAATTATAATTATGAGGTTGAATTCATCCAACACCTTCTGAATTTCCCCATCTCCCAATTTGATCGCAGTCAACATAATTACTCTAGATTTTTTCTTGAGGACTACGACCTGATATTTAAAACTCTCTAGGTGTTTGCCGTCAAAGTATATGCATTACTTCTACAAATAAAGCACGATTCACAAGTACTCTTTCAACCGAGCGTATTCATTGTAGATAGCCCTCGGAGAATGTTTTGTATTAAAAATTAGAAATATCGGTCCACGTTTTGGTATATCCCTCATATAATGGTACTCCAAAATATTCGGTATTTTGGATTCTCATATCTTCCTACCCAAAAATTATCAATATTAGTATATTTTCTAGAATAGGCCTAATATGTCGCTACCCTTAAATATTCGGTATTTTGGGGAGTTGGAATATATTTTACATCCGTATTGGTTGTAATTTAGTGTTTTTGGTTCAAATTCGTTAATACATCTCCCTACCGAAAAATATCAATATTGGACCTTTTTCATATAACTTAGGACATTAGGACACATTTTCAAATAAAATGGCTGTAGTTATTTTTTTTATGTACCTCGGTATTTCCCGCCATATATACATGTTCCGAATAATTACTGGTGTGGAGGGTATAAAAAGTTCGACCAGGTCAAACTTCTTTTACTACTTTACTACTACTTTTACTTTCATAGCTTTTGTGATTTCTTATTAAAATAATTTATATTATAGGAATATCTGCTATAAAATATGCTGATTTATATCCTTCTCATTATAGGAAATTTTAGATAATAAAAATTCCTCTTTTAATATATAACTAAAATAACCATTCCCACAATAAGGACATACTATTTTGACAAAAAGGATATAAGAGGGCTCACTTCATTATCTACAACGATAAACCATGTACAGTTACATCTATGACTAAAAGCTCTCTGCTATAAACCAAACGTGTGAGTGCACTACAAACTATTCACAATAACAAATTGGGGATTTATGGCATCTCCTTTTATTTGTAAACAATACAAAAGGATTAATTCGTTATAATCTAAAACGACAAATCCCATTTTATAGCATTTGAAATAATAGCTACATTTAATCTGTCATAGTTCAATTGTTGTTAATTCACAATATTTGATAACTATTTAAAGGATATAAAACGACTGCAATTGTTTATTTGTATCATAAAATCATCCTATAATATAAAGAGTGACTGTTTTGCTATGCAGTTGAATTCGCTTATAACGACGGCCAAAGGACCTGTCGTTATACACCATATCAAAGATAACGGCAAAACCTTTCTTGGGATTTTGAATACAGCCGTTATAACCGATATGTTGCTATAAATGTCGTCGATTTCGACTGTAATTATATTCCATATAATTCATAATAATACAAGGTCCATTATTAAATTTCTATATTATAATTAGGGTCCTAAGTAGGGTCCTAGGTATTGCTACAAAAATATTAAAAATATATTTTATATGAAGTCCCTAGTGAATCTACTTCGAAAATAAGACTCGGTGCTTCCCAATATCGTCCATGGTGTCACATATTTTGTAATGTTGTGTTGTTATGATATCGTAACAACTCTGAATTTCCCAGGGGCATCAACAAAAAATTTAGATTAACAAGGAAGGACGGACATAATAATTTCAAAAATGAAAAAAATCAAGAATATGTTTTTCAGTCATTCCTCAAGTGAGAGAATAATTTTTATTACACTCTGAAGGGCTGGCTAGTAGCTTTTTCCCAAAAATTCCACTGCATTTCAGAGAGAGAGAATGAATTTCACTCAAAAAAATACGATAATATCGTCGATATACAACGATTGAACATTTTTTTTTCTTTTTTCATCCATCCAATTTTCGCGGAAATCAATCAACAAAATCAAAAAAATAATCTAAAATCATTAATTTTGGAAAAAATTTTGATGAAAATTAATAGTAGAACAGTTTTATAACAGTATAACAGTTAACGGTGCTATAATTGTGAAAGTGTCATAAACTGTTATACGCTAATGAAAGGGGGCGGTATATACAAATTAATCTAATACTTCAACCTTTTAACAGCGGGCACTAGATGGTGCCACTGAATATGCAAAACATAACTAGATGTCGGTAATGCAAATCGCTATAAAAGGTTGTTAGCTGTAATAAGTAAGACTTCCATTTAGTTTCAGTTAAGGTCGTATGATGTCGCTTTTTCCTTAGCAATACAAGATGGCGACGGCGCATAAATTATTACAGATTTTGGTCTTCGCTAAAAAGTTAGGCTGACGTCAGAGTGCGCGCGAGAAGCGATGCTATGATATGCCGCTAGACGACGCTTTAAACCTCTGCGTGTGTTTTCTTATGGCATAGCGCAAAAGCTGTCAGAGTGGATGCTACGCTACAAGCGAGACAAAGCGAGTGCAAGCGATAAAGCGTGTTGTGCAATGGTTTATAGCAAGAGCTCGCTTTGGCTCTGTTTGAGTTTCTTTGTTTATTATTTTTATTTACCGTTATTGATCGGTTTTTGGCATCGTTCTTTTGCATCTTATCGAATTTTAATGGCGTGGACCAATCTGTCGGGATTTTTGTGGACTCAAGTCCAAATTTAATTAAATAATAATAAAATAATTTGGAAAAAATAAGGGAAATCGATGCAGAAATATTTGTTCATTTCATGAATTTTCTTTAAAAAATTACTCTGAAAATATTTTGTGATATGAAAAATTCTTCGTCGGAATCCTCCTTGAGTCAATAAACACCAGTTTACAACAGAAATAGGCGATATAAACCAACAATACGCTTTGCTCTCTATAGCACTCACTCTGACATACTATAGCATTGAAGTAGCATGAACTATTATAGCATGTAGTATCGCATCGCTTCTCGCTTGCACTCTGACGTCAGCCTTAGATTTTTCGAATTTGTCATTATGTATGTGGTTTCGATAGACTGAATGAATAACGATTTTCGTTATACTTAGTTTCGTGAGTATTTTTATAACTATGCTAGTATTTTAAAAATTAATGTTTTCACGTAGGATACATGGCTTTGAAATAATAAAGATAGTGAATGTCTTGCTATGGGGCTATTGTGTAAAGGAGAGAAAATTTACTTAAACAGGGGTCTATTTTCGTATACAGTCCACTTGAGATAAGAGATTGTTTGTATACAAGAATAAGATAGCAGTTTTGTATTGCCACATATGCTATGTTTGAGTGAGATTACGGGGAGTAATGTGTTATGTCAGATGGACACATTAGTCTAAGATAGGTTAAGTCATATTGTAATACTTAGTTCTTAAGGACCACTTTTTATTCGAATAAATTAGTGTGTAAATGTACAACGATTGAATTAGACGGGCTTGCACTCCGCGGAGAATATCCGCGTAAACCATTAAATATCCTTCGTTTATCAAATGGTAGACAAAATAATAATAAAATTGTGCAAGGTGTAGTTTGAATTTATATTACAGAGGTTTAATAGTAATCTGAACGAAAAGTTTCGAATTAAACTGATTACTTACTTTATTGTAAACATTTTGTAAAATAAAGAACAAATGCTTACAATATTGCCATCTATTAAAAAAAAAATAACTTTATTTCATGATACATGTTGTCCGACTTTTGTTTGGAGAAAAACTTTCTGTATTTATCTTCCATAAAAATATTTTCACTCTTTCAATTCTATGATATAATTATACAAAAATATTATTTGCGTTTTAGCAAAATTGTGACAGGTGAGATAATCTATAAAAAATCTTCCACAAAACTATAAATATTCGTCATAAAAATTATAGCACTCTTAGATATCTTCGAATTATAGAGGATAATAAATATCCTTTAAAACGTCCACTACTTATCTGACGTTATTCGAAATAAAAATTACCTTCTTCAACTGGTATACGGAAATTCATTTCTTTATATCACGAATTTTACTATAATTTGTTTTTAAAGGATGTTACGGTGAAAGCTTTCAACCTAATCTTAAATATGAAACCAGTAAGGGTCGACTATGTAATACCCTTCACCACTTTGCTTACATATTAGGGTCATAGACAAGAAATTGAACTAAATTAAATAAAACAGTGTCTTGTTAATCCAGCAGACTTGGGGGCTTTGTTGTACCATTCGTATAAAATAGAAGAACATTATAGATGCAAGCTATATGTACGAAGCCAGTTCGGGAAGTTCTTAGCCTAGTACACAAAGCGCGGTATAAACATAAAAAAGTTAAGTGTTTTGGAAACTTCCATCTCTGTTATGAACGCATGTTAAATTTAAAATTAAATCCTACATATAGATACATGTGTTCAAAAAAGACGCATCCGCAATTTTTTTACAATGAAAGCACGCATTTCTAATTTTTCCATTGTAAACAATTTTTTTTGAATACCTGTTTCTAGATGAAGTAGTTGCCAGATCGAAACAAAATTTAACATGTGTTCATAATGGAGATGGAAGTTTCCAAAACGCATAACTTTGTTATGTTTACACGGTCTTTTTTGTGATAGGCTATGAAAGCAAACAATTTGCCTGAAATTTCACGAAAATATGTAAATCTGAACCGATTTCCATCAATTTCAATAGGGCTAATCTTTAGACCAAATAAGAAATGCGACCTGTACTTTGTTTAGAATAATA